GAGTCCGGAATTACTTCTGGTTTCAAAGTTGTTACAAAACCATGCTTAATGTTCACCAATATATGCAAAGTGACACGTGCATAACGAGAGGAAGCTAGTCTAAACAACGTAGACAACGTTTTGTACCCCAGCAACACCCAACTCACACATCGGGCTTTTAAATCACCCACAAGTACCAAACGCTGCCTTCTCGTGGTTGTGAGGAGATGCTCTCTGTGTTCGGTTACAGACGGACGTGCATGCACCCACACACAGTGTGTCCATCTGGACTCAGAGTGAGAAGAACATCTTTCTAAGTTCATGATGCCACTGGAGGCCGTTAGAAATGTGTGTAACTCATTAAAAGGAGAGTCACTAATGAAACCAAAAGCCGGAACACAGGAGAAGACACCTGCCCACAGACAGGTGAGGCTTTTGCTCTCCATCAGGTCAACTCCTTATAGAGTAGGCCTAACAAGTCTCTCAGCAGACCTTCAAATCCTCCCCATCAGGGCTGGCTTTCACACACAGAAGCTGCATAATTATTCACAATTACCCCGGAGGTGGAGCCTGACGTCTGTGTAATGAGGGTACACCGAAGAGTTCGGGGCCAGAGGAGAAGACGGATCATCTTTGATCACTCCTGGTGGCCCCGCCGGCTCGTCTGGGTCCCTCTGCTGACTTCTCTACAAGATTAAAAGATCTGAACCACATTCGGGCCAGAACATCTCATCTAAGGAGTGTGAGTGTATTTTCCTCATTTCTTTTGCAGCATGTCACAAAACCTGTGGTGATCCACCAGAAACATGCAAAAGAACCCCGTTTGGTTGTGGGACGTCCTGGAGCAGGAATCTAAAACCTCCTTTAACTCTGGGAATCTTAAACCCCAGGAAAAGTCCGGACCGACGGATCTAGTCCTCAGTTGGCTTTCCAAGAGTTCATTGAGGGAATTTTCTTTGTTCTGCTCCGTCAGCCATCACAGGCAGAGCTGAGGATTAAAGGTGTAGACTGTAAGCACGGCAGCGTTGCTTTAAAACATTAACGATGGTTTAGAACAATGTTTAAAATATAGAATTAGGATTAAACAGTGACTTCAAACTTTACAAAAGATCATTTAAAATAAGTATTTAGTGTTTGTGTGATTAAATGAAATCACAACCCTGATAACAAGGTGAAAGGTTGGTTTCGGTAGAAGACCTCCAGGAGGCCGGCCCTTCAGAGGGATTTAAGGAGGGCCAGACCCACAACCCAAAAGATAGGTGTGGCAAGCTTGTGGCTTCATATTCAAAATGACTTGGGGCTGTAATTGCTGCCAAAGGTGCATCAACAAAGTACTGAGTAAAGGCTGTGAATACGTATGTTCATGTGATTTCTTAAGTTTTTTATTTTTAATAAATTTGCAACAACTTCAGACACTTTTTTCACATCATCATTATGGGGTGTTGTGTGTTGACTTGTGTGTGTTGTGTGCTATGTGGGGCTGTAACATAAACAAAAACATGGAATAAGTGAAGCGCTATGAATACTGTCCTGATGCACTATATTTTCATCAGAAGGTCCTTGGGTTCTTGCTAATCAGAGCATAGTCTCTGGAGTAGTACCAGGTAGGGATCAAAGGAACAGCGCTAGGCTGGTTTAAATCCTACCTGTCTGACAGATTTCATTTTGTAAATGTACATGACAAATCTTCTTCATACTCCAGGGTTACTTGCGGAGTACCACAGGGTTCAGTGCTTGGACCAATTCTTTTTACTATATATATGCTCCCAATTGGTAAAATCATTAGACAGCATGGGATAAACTTCCACTGTTATGCTGACGATACTCAGTTATATTTATCCATTAACCCTGATGAACCTAATCGGTTAGTTTAGATTACAGGCTTGTCTTGAGGACATAAAAAATTGGATGACTCTAAATTTGTTGCTTTTAAATCAAGACAAGACTGAAGTTCTCACTTCTGACCTGCAATTCAGAAAAGGAAATTGCTTAGCCAATCACCTGACCTGAATGGCATTACATTGATCTCTGGGTAACGTCCAGAAAGGGTCCATTTTCACCTACACATTGACCTACATAGTGACCAGTCATCTACAGGTATAATTCCATTTTCTAAGTGGATTTTATGTTCTATCTTCTACAACCCAGGAGACACTGCTGTGCTTGTTGACATTCCATGAAGACAAGATTGTCAGCCTATTTTTCCAAACAAAGCTTTCTTCTGATAAGACTGCTGGATTCCACACTCTGAAAAGTGAATTTTTACAACTCATAAGTTAAATAATCATAAATAATCATAAATAATCATATGGTTGAATAAGCCAGATGTTATATGAATAATACTAATAATGTTTGAATAATCTGTGCCTAATTCAGTGAAGTTGAAATGAATATTATTATTATAATGATACATTTATATGATATGATCAGTACTGTTTGATTTAACAAGTGAATCATTATCTACACTCATACACAATGTTCATTAGATGCAAATTCAGGTTAAGGCCATCTCATATAAAGTAAAGATCCTTTATCTACAGAACAAGAACATCTTGTATCTGGAAGGTGTGGTTTTCTGAGGGATGTTTGGCAACGCCGACAAACATGTCAAAATCTGATTTGCAAAAATGATAAACTAGATTATTAAAACTAGAGTGACTGCCCAAGTTACTCAGTTTCCAGCTGACACTCCGAAGTGGCCAATTGGGAACCAGCCTCTTTTGAAACATCTCTTTGACATCCAGTCAAAACCTGTTTGCACGCTGTAAGCTGACACAGCCTCACGACTCCTCAAGAGTCCACCTGTACGTTGTGACCTGGAGACATCTCTGGACTGACCTGGTCGCACTGCGGTTAATCTACGAACTTCGATGTCTTGGGGTCACCTGAACACCCCCCCCCCCCCCCCCCCCCCCCCGACATCTCGGATCCAAAAGAGGGTCTCCATCAGGATACGTAGAAACAACAAGATTGCGTCTGATGCTGATCTATAAATAATCAGCTCTCTAGTTTATAGCAGACAGCAAATTCTTTTACACCCAGAACTCTCAGTTTCTTCCACATACAAAGGTTCTGATAGACATCACATTCCATCACATCTCATTATTAATAGCTTGTAATGTATTATAATTAGTCAAGAAAATAAAGTTTATTTTTAATTATATACTTGACTCTGTCTGAATTAATACGAAGTGTGTTTATGGTCCCTGAATAAGCAAAGAATCCTGAATTCTTCTGGTTAAACATGCAAAGATCAATCAGGTTGATATTTCATGTTTATATAGAATCATCAGTTCTTATTGGTCATAACTAAAACCTCAAATTCTCTAAATCTGAGAACAAAGTAAGGAACCTTGGTGTTATCTTCGACCAGGACATGATTAGAAGCATCCTTTCCAGGAGTGATGCTGAAAAACTAGTTCATGCATTTATTACATCAAGACTGGATTACTGTAATTCATTACTCTCAGGAAGTCCACAGAATGTAGTTAAAAGTCTTCAGCTTGTCCAAAATGCTGCAGCTAGAGTTCTGATGAGGATTAAAAAGAGAGATCATATCTCTCCTGTCTTAGCTTCCCTACATTGGCTACCTGTTAAATTCAGAATAGATTTTAAGATCCTTCTTCTCACATATAAAGCTCTTAATAATCAAGCTCCATCATACATCAGTGATCTGATTGTTCCATATGTTCCTAACCGAGCACTTCGCTCTCAGACTGCAGGTCTACTGGTGGTTCCCAGAATATCTAAAATTAGGATGGGAGGCAGATCTTTTAGTTATCAGGCTCCTCTCCTGTGGAACCAGCTCCCAGCTTTAGTCTGTGAGGCAGACACTTTGTCTACTTTTAAGAATAGGCTTAAAACATTTTTATTTGATAGGGCCTACGGTTAAAATCTGATGTTAGCCTAAATCTGGACAAGTGGGGGAGTAGAGGGAGGTGGAGTGTACAGTCGGTAAAGCCGGCTCTCCCTTGCCCTGCCTCCAACATGCTTCCATCTAAATAGGATAGATTATCCAGAGTTATCTCTGTAGTTATGCTGCTATAGGCTTAGACTGCTGGAGGACACACTGACCACGTTTCACACTCTACTACTTTCTTCTACAATCTGCTCTTTAACTGTATTATTTCCTGCTATTTCAGCTGTTAACTTTATTTTCTCTCTAAGTGTTTTTCTCCCCAGAAGAAGCTACAACGATGTTCTGCTGAGCTGTGGTGGCCTCATGGAGGGGGCCATCGACTAGCACACTGCTGCTAACCACTTAAACATTCTCCCTCTCCTGATAATAACTTTTTACTTTCCTTGACGTTGGATGTGCTACTACTAGTTTACCCGTTTAATTATAGATCCACTAGGATAAATACAATAAAGTTTATCTCTCACCAAATAGAATATTTACTAAGACATCACAATATAACTATACACATTACTAGTCGTGTGTGTGTGTGTGTGTGTGTGTGCGTGCGTGCGTGTGTGTGTGTGTGTGTGTGTGTCTGCTCTGTCTTCTCCATCCCCAGTGAGTCGTGGAGGATGGCTGCTTATACTGAGCCTGGATTCTCTGGAGGTTTCTTCCTGTTAAAAGGGAGTTTTTCTCTCCACTGTTGCTGCATGCTTGCTTGGTATGAGGATTGCTGTATAGTCACTGACACTAGTCAGTGACTCGATGCGACCTGCTGGGTTCCTTATATAGGAAACGTGTTACTGATTGGCTTAATGACCTGACCTGTACTGTAATGTTTACTGTGTGCAGGTCCTTGAGGCGACCCTTGTCGTGACTTGGCGCTATATAGATAAACTTGAATTGAATTGTATTCAATGGGGATCTTCAGTTGGTGCAGAATGCTGCTGCACGGCTGCTCACTGGGACAAAAATGTGGAGCATGTTACTCCTGTCCTGGCCTCACTGCACTGGCTGCCTGTTTGTGTTAGAATCCAGTACAAGGTGCTTTTATGGGCTTTTAAATCTTTCCATGGCCTTGCTCCAGACGACCTCTCTGAGCTACTGGTTTTTTACCCCCCTGCCCGGTCTCAGAGGTCGGCTGATAGGAAGCTCCTGGAAGTCCCAAAAACAAGACGTAAGCTCAGAGGTGACAGGGCTTTCTCTGTAGCGGCCCCTAGGCTCTGGAATGCCTTTGAGCATTAGGTCGGCCTCTTCACCGTCTGGTTTTAAATCTCTTTTGAAAAACTATTTAAATAACTTGGTTTTTAATTCAGCATGAGAGTCTTTTTAGGGTTTTTAGTGTTAGTTCTTAAGCTTTAGTCTTTAAGCTGTGTTATGTTGTCTATTGCTTTTAATGTTTTAATTTCTGTGAAGCACTTTGGTTGGTTTTATGCTGTTGTAAGGTGCTATATCAATAAAGCTGCCTTGCCTTACAACGTAATGATTTTTTTTCATGTGACTTTACAGTGAATAGGGATGAAATGGATGAAGAGTATCAACCACCATCATCTGGACAGGCATACGGCGCTCAGCCAAGGAAAAGAAAAGCCCCAAGCTCATCTTTCCTACTTAAGCGGAAACCTCAAATGTGTTTGTGGAGAGTGAGTGATTTTTACATTTTCATGGACATCCTGATTTTTTATGTATGATAATTGTTATTGATGTTTGTTCAATTTTCTCTGTTGTTCTAAAATTCTATTTTACATTTTGTTGTCAATAAATTAGCTCCATTCGGAGTCTAATTAATTGCTCTGTATATTTTATCCTATTTTGAATGGGTTTGAATGGGAATATGTTGGGTGGATTTTTTTTTAACTCTCAAAAACATAATTTTTTTTAGATGGAAATACTTTCTAAGATAAGATCAAAATGAGGGAAAAAAGAACCTAAGAAAAATACCTCTAAACACCTGCAAAAGATTCCTGAGGCTTTTAAAAACTCCCGGCCTGGTTCATTACTCAAAACCGCAGTCATGGGTAAGACTTCCGACCTGACTGCTGTCCAGAAGGCCATCATTGACACCCTCAAGCAAGAGGGTCAGACACAGAAAGACATTTCTGAACAAATCGGCTGTTCCCAGAGTGCTGCTTCTCTTCCTGATGTGAGAGACTACATCTGTAGTGTAATTATCTATAGATGATCTATACATGAAACCAGCAGTGGGTCTCCAAGGAGATCTCTGCACCTTAACAAGACAGGCGCAGACGTCCCTTCCTTCTGATCATAAACAGTACTCATGCTGTGAACGTTGCTGGAGATTAAACCGGACTCACGGGTATGACCCAGAACTGATGGTAAAAACACATTTCACCACAAAGACTTTCACACCATCACAACAACACCTCAATCTTTACCTGGTGACTCCATCAGGCTGGCCCAGAACTCTGGAACTATGTGTAGTGGATCTTCTTCTGAACAGGTGAGTTTGTAAAGGTGAACACATGGAGGTGTGCTCACGTTACTGTAGTGGCTCACAAAGACGTCAAAGTTCTGCAGACACAGAGAGAGAGAATTGGGGTTTCCTGGTCCAGGTTCAGTGTTAATAATAAACAGGTCTTTGATGCTAGAAAAGTCATACCAGGTGTGTCCACTTAAAGGTGCAATTTGTAAGAATGACATCCTGTGGTCAAACGTGGTTACTGCAGTCCAATTTTTAAGCAAAAACATTACTCTCACGTTTTATGGCTGTTGTCAGTTACGGATCAGCTCCAGAAGGTTCTAGATGACAAGCAGTCACAGGGAGCCTAAGTCTCGCCCATCTACTTCCGGACCATGGGTCCCCAGAAGAACGAAAAAATGAACGCAAGTCAACGGGGCTAAAAAAGCAATTTTCTAATTCCCCTTGTGATGTACCTTGGAGTTCACATACGATGTCCGTGAGTTTTAAAAACACATTTTGATACCAAGAACGCGCTTATTTTCTTACAGGGGGAAACACTATTTTAGGTTTTCAGTAAAAATAAGTCCAGGACTACAAACGCGCATCACGAAGGTGATGTCATCGAACCAGACATGGAGAAAACTGAGGGGAAAGGGCTGTAAGTTCACCAAGCTATCCACAGGAGGAAAGAACCACCATAAATGTGGTCATGTGGTGAGTAGCAGCTACATGGGGGGGGGGGATCATGTGGTGACGTCACATATGCGACGTGCCGTGGTCTAGTTTGTAGTCATGCTAATTACAAATGTTTACAAGCTGATAAATCTCAAAGTACATGACTGGTGTGGTCGTAACACCCATCATTAGTTTTCATTTAAATTGCAGTGCAGCATGTGTGTGACCCAGGGCGTAAGGCGAAGCGAGGTAGAAAACAGCTCTTTTAGCCCCGTTAACTCGCGTGAGCCGCCTGGAAAGGGAGGAGACTTAGGCTACGTCCACACTGCAGGCCGTGATGCTCGATTCCGATTTTTTGAGTGAATCAGATTACTTCGTGCGGCCGTTCACACTGTGACTGAAATGCGACATCAAACTCTCCAGTGTGAACGCTCCGTGGCACCAAAGTGACCTGCATGTGCAGAAGACAAGAAGTCACACTCAGTGGGGAAAGCAGGAGAGGAAGAGTTGTGACGTAATCCTGATCCTGTGGATGAACTATCAGCTGTTCATTCTTCCATTTTGGGCTGGAAACTGTTTTAAAAACTGTAAACTATTTTACTCCTTGTTCCCGCCGCCTCCCCAAATTATTATACACTGAAAATGTTCCAATGTTAATTCATTCACAGAGACCCCCCCTCCCTTCCCTCACGGAGGCCGGTGAGACGCTTCGCTCCAGCAGCACCTCCAGCTCCTGTTCTCATGCTCTCCTGTATTTTAATTCCTAAAGCTAAAACAGGAAGTCCAGACAGACTCCTGAACCCTTCTGTCAGAGGTTCTCCTCAGGAACGTCCACACACCACGCTCACCTCCGCTGACTCAATGACGTAGGAGACGGAGTTAATGCGACATGACCGTTCAGACTGCAGTCGCCTTCAAAAACTTCAGATTCGTGTCAGAATCAGTACCAAACATAAAAGTGACACTGATCGGATTTGAAAACAACGGATCTGTGCTGTTCAGACTGTCGTAAAAAAATCAGATATGGGTCAGATTGTCATGATTCATCTAGTTGTAGTTTTAGTGCAGTTTGGAGCATGGAAAAGGTTTGTATGGTCTTGCAGCCTAGGCTCTGCACTTTTGATATTTATTCATATTTAGGGCATAAATTGAGATGCTAAACGTTCTGGCCCCCAACAGGGGTACGCTCGGGCTCAAAGGGGTAAATGTTTAATACATTATTTATTTTAATCAACTGCCCCTCGGGATGATTAAATTTTTTAAAATTGAATTGAATCAATGAATTGTAATTAAATAGTTCAATTCTCACCCGTTTTTTGTATGAACAGTTTAACTTCTTTCCAATGTTTTGTTTGTTTACTGTGCCTCCTACTAAAAACAAGAGGTAGTAGCAGCTTGTGACTGAATCAGGTTTCAGAAGGAATGAGCTGCACCGACAGCTCTGTCTGTGTCTTTAATCTCTAGTTCGATCATTTAGCTTTGGTTCGTCAACAGTAGCATCATCTGATAAGGAACCGGAATGGTGATACGTGCACACAGGTATCCGGTCCAGTACCTGACTAACAGAGCAGCTGTGAGAGAATCCAGGTTTGGTTAGTCTGACCACGTCTCCAGGAGATTCATAGCTGACCACATACAGGTGGTGCTCCAAAGGTGTGTCTCTGGTACCTTGGAAATAGACCAGCTTTGTTTCTTCATTGACCCAGATCTGCAGAGGAAATGACATTTGAGAAAAGCACCAGTAGGATGGGATCAGACACTATTATTATTATTAGGATTGACTGATTTGTGTTTGTTGTTAGTCTCACAGTCAACCTGCTGGCTTCATTATCACCTGCAAGTCGCTTTGGACAAAAGCTAAATACATGAACATTTTACTATCATGCTCTGCTGATGAACTACACATATAAATATGTTGCTTGACTAAGTCAACTAACTAGCTCTGTCGACTTGAACATATAACGAAACAAGCCTTTAAGAGCTCTGGAACAACTGTATGTGTTTATGTTTTACAAATGTTATTCTATATTTTCTCATCTCGTTCCATCTTTGTCTTCTCATCTTCTGGACAAAACTCGTTTTCAGGACAATCATTTTGATCAATGATCGTTTCTGACAGTGTGTGTTTACCTTGGACCCATGTCTCGCCAGCACCTCCCATTCCCCACCAGTCAGAGTTAACTCTTCTTTGACTAAACATCTAAAGTTTCCTGCAATACAAGGAGACCAGACTCTAATGAATCTAGACATTAACTATATTGATGTTATCTGGATGGGAGCAGACCCTTACCTTCCATGTGATGGTAGCCTTCAGCCCACTGGTAACAGCCCTGTTGTAACACTGATGTAATTTTATACAAGTGGCGGAAACCTGTTTTGGACTCATTCACCCAGATGAAAGTAAATTCATCTTCTGTGTTTTGAATAAAAGGGTAGAATATATCATGAACCTGCACAGACAGAAACATAAAGTCAGTTAAGAAAGTATACAGCAACTGTTTGCTGATTGTTTTTTAGAGTGAAGCTCTTATTTCCTTATTATTTCTATAAATTTGCAGTGCTCTCTAGTACAAATTAATGTCTTGTGAGTTGTTTTCTGTGCAAAGAAAAACCCTGGTGCTCCTGTTAGGGCTAATCACTATTTGATGACATTCCCTTCCCTAACCAATCACTGAATCAACATTAAATCTTATCTGAAACTGCTGGCTAAGGATAAGCGTAATTACAGTAAGATTGTTATTCACGCTGGCGGTAACGACACCCGGTTACGCCAATCGGAGGTCACTAACATTAATGTTGCTTCGGTGTGTAAGTTTGCCAAAACAATGTCGGACTCCATAATTTTCTCTGGCCCCCTGCCTGATCGGACCAGTGACGACATGTTTAGCCGCATGCTGTCCTTCAACCGCTGGTTGTCTAGGTGGTGTCCTGAAAACAACGTGGGCTACATTGATAATTGGAAAACTTTTTGGGGAAAACCTGGTCTGATGCAGAGAGACGGCATCCATCCCTCTTTGGATGGAGCAGCTCTTCTTTCTAGGAACATGGCCAGTTTTATTAGTCCTCCATGACAACCCAGGGTCCAGACCAGGAAGCAGAGTCGTAGTTTAACCCACCCCTCTGCAGCTTCTGTACTGTTACCCACCCACTACCCCATAGAGACAGTGTCCTGCCCACGGCCAAAACCACACAGATTAAATATCAGGCTTAATAAAGCAAATCATGGAAATATCATAAATATTAGAACAAATTCAACTGAGCAGAAAACTAGAAAAATTAAATGTGGGTTGTTGAACATTAGATCCATTTTTTCGAAGACTTTGTTAGTTAATGACTTGATTTGGTGCTAAACACTGATAAGGTCATTGTAGTGGGGGATTTTAATATTCATGTGGACATTGAAAATGATAGCCTCAATGTAGCCTTTAGTAATATCTTAGACTCAGTTGGTTTTACTCAAAGAATACATAGCTCCACCCACTCCTGCCATCATACATTGGACCTTGTACTGACTTATGGCATAGAGTGTGAGGAAATAACAATCTTTCCACATAATCCAGTCCTCTCAGACCACTTTCTGATAACCTTTGAGTTTTTTATAACTGAGTTCTCGAGACATGAAAGTAAATTTCACTATAGTCGGTCTCTATCTGACAACGCAGTTGCATCTTTTAAATCAACTGTTCTATCTTTACTGTCCTCAGCATCTCAGAGGAACGTAGCAGAGGGCAATATTTTCAGTTCTAGCCCCTCACAAGTTGAGTTCATAGTTTTGTAAGTGGTTACTTTTAATAAACTGCCAATAGAATATAAAGGTATACAATAAAATGTAATATCCCATGAAAATATAGATTATCAACGTTACTGAGCCTTTATTATTTGATTGATGATGAAACTAGGTAATTTGGGGATGCCAGGGAAACAAATTTTATAATAATTTGACATGCAGAGGCAAAAATATAGCTTTAAAAAATCGATTTATTACTATTTTTCTACTTCTAGGATGATGCAGAACAAATAATTATAAAAGATGAGTTAAGGTAGTAGTTTGGTGGCAGGAGAATCTCATCTCTGCTTTATTTGGATGATGTGATCCTCCTAGCTTCATCAGGGTCTGACCTACAGCTCTTCCTGTGGATGTTCGCAGCAGAGTGTGAAGCGGCTGGGCTGAAGATCAGCACCTCCAGGTCTGAGACCATGGTTCTCGACCGGAAAAGGGCGGCTTGCCGACTCCAGGTCGGGAGAGAGGTTCTGCCTCAAGTGGAGGAGTTCCAGTATTTCAGGGTCTTGTTCACGAGTGAGGGAAGGAGGGAGCGGGAGATCGATAGGTGGATTGGGGCCGCGTCTGCAGTGAAGCGGACGCTGAACTGGTGTGTTCAGGTGAAGGAGCTGAGCCAGAAAGCCAGGCTCTTGATTTACCGGTCCGTCTACCGCCCAGTCCTCACCTATGGTCATGAGCTTTGGGTACGGACCGAAAGAACAAGATGGTGGATACAAGAAATTAGTTTTCTCTGCAGGGTGGCTGGGCTCACCCTTATGGTTAGGGTGAGGAGCTCGGGCATTCGAGAGAGACTCTGAGTAGAGCTGCTGCTCCTCCATATCGAGATGATTCAGTTGAGGTGGTTTGGGCATCTTGTCAGGATGCCTCCTGGACGCCTCCCCAGGGAGCTGTTTCAGGCATGTCCTGCCAGCAGGAGGCCCCCGGGTCGACCCAGGACATGTTGGCGAAAGTACATCTCTAAACTGGCCCAGGAACGCCTTGGGGTCCTGCCGGAAGAGCTGGTGGAGGTGGCCGGGGAGAGGACGGTCTGGAACTCCCTAGTTGGGATGTGATGAGGCTTCTCAAGGATTCTGCTGGCTACAAAGTCTCCTCAGCATGCAAGTAGTTTAACTTGTAGAGGTCAAAGGCCGTGTTCCTCTGGATCTGCACCAGCTGGTCGGAGATGACCTCTGGGTCTGCTGGCGAGACATTTCATGTCTGAAGAGTCGTTTCTCTGATGGAGTTTTGCAAAGAAAGTCTGACCTTGGAAAGGATGGTTTCTTATGCTATATATATATATATATATATATATATATATATGTATATATATATATATATATATATATACATATATATATATATATATATATATATATATATATATATGTATATATATATATATATACATATATATATATATATATATATATATATATATATATGTATATATATATATATATATATACATATATATATATATATATATATATATATATATATATATGTATATATATATATATGTATATATATATATATATATATACATATATATATATATATATATATATATATGTATATATATATATATATATATATATATATATATATGTATATACACACATATACACACACATGAATATATACACATATAGGTTCATGTGTAAAATCCCAGTGGTCTGTCAGAAGGGTTAACCGTTGACAGCTGCTCGGGTTACCACACCTTCATGAAATGAACTATTACAGTTCTTATTATGAACATCCTCAAATATTTCTACTTGTTCATTTCTTTATTTTCTGAACTGACTAGTACGAATATTATCTGGACATGGATAAATTATACTATATGCAGAACAGGAATTACAGAGGATTAGGACCGTGTTTGGAGGGAGAGCAGCCGGTTCGTCTGAACCAGCAGACAAGGCCAGGTCCAAGCCTGTTGAAGACCCGTGCAGAACCAGTGAGCAACAGGCCGAGGTACCAGGAGCCTTGTTCAGGGTGTCTGGGTGTTGTTCTGCCCATGCTGACAGAAGTAATCCTCCCATCTTCTAGAGAAGCAGCCGGGCTGAGAGATGAACGATGGACAGAACAAGCTGCTGCTGATGATGATGGCAGAAGCTCTGCTGTCTTCTGAGTCCTCTTGATGTGGCTCTGGAAATATGGTCCAAACAGGACCTTGGAGCTAATGGGACCCTCCAGCATTTCCTTCAGCAGGTGGTCAGGGATGGTGGGCAGAACATGCAGCCAAGTGGTTCGACTGTGGTGGAGACGGCTCGTGGACAGCTAGCCCTTCACGGGTAGCTGCTGAGATGATGGCAGGCAGCTCCTGAAGCAATGCTCAGTTATCTGGGAGCTGCATAGAGGATGATCATGGGAGGCCCGGTGTTGAAGCACATCCATGCATTTGGCTGTCCAAAGGGTCTCAAACACGGATGTGTTAGCAGGAGAGTCTGCATTTTTGGCGTTGTCATCAGCTCGAGCGGAGTTGTTCAACTCCCACCCAACACAAAAGAACTTGACGGCCTTTCAAGAGGGCAGCTGTCGGCAACAAGCAACGCATCTTCAACTGTGGACGTGAAAAATTCTAGCCGACGCAGCTTCTCAGCCAGAAGCAGCGTGCACAAAAAGAGCAGGTGGAGTTGTGGTGAGGCCCTCGTGATGAGGACTGGGGCAGCCTTCACACCTGCTGCGCAGTGTGCCACTCTGACTTTACCCAGTCTGACATCTAGGGCTCAAGGTGGAGAAGCGCTGGGTCGCAGCTATGGAACACGTTTCCTCCGGGCCTGAAGTCACCGACAGACTTCAGGCTTTTCACCAAATACTGAAGCACAACACCGTGAACACTGAAACATTGAAATTCTATCTGAATATGTAGTATTTATATGTAGTATTTAGGTACTTTTATGTCGTTTTTATGTACTTTATTAGTGTAACTTGTTATTTTAGTTTTGTTAGATATAAATGCCCAACCAGGGGCAAGGGCTGTAAATGAATCTGCATCTGTTGCTTACGGTGACACAGTCCCTGTAAAAACAAAATAAAGACAAACGTATCGCTGGACGTGATGTAAGGTAAGCATTATTACTCTTTAGCTCTCAGAGACAAGCTGCTGAGAAGAAGATGGGAGCAGATCCCGGTCCGGTCTCTCTCCTATACCAAACCAGGCTCCGCCCAGTAGGTGGGCGGGCCTTAAAGTTCTTCAGTTAGGGTCAGGGTTATCACCCAGTAATGATTAGCCTTAAAAGGTGAAGCCTACATGAAATAGATGTCAGAGTGGCTCATCATATGTCAGAAAGAACAAGTATTACATTGTGTCTATAGGAACTTTAAAGAGCAAGTCACCCCCACATCACCTAGTTTTTGCTGAGAAACTATAAAAACGAGTGTCTAGTCGTGCTGTAGACACGTGCTCTCAACTTTAGTTCATCTTACTTCAAACTGGAATATTCTGCCTAAAACTGTCGGTGGCGCGCCCCCTTCAGGTAAAATCTCTACATAACATTTGAATTTAAATCTGCCATCTCTATTGGCTAAGAAGGTCCCCTATGACAATAGCTGGTACCACATGATGTCACAATGCCACTGTGAGCCTGTGTGTATTGGTTAACGGCTCCACCCTCTCAACCTGCCAGGCAACTCCTCCTTGTGGCGCATTTCTCAAACAGGAAATGGGAGTGGAGTTAGCCTCTGGTAGGGGGTGACTTTCTCTTTAAGTAACTAAAGAGACAAAGAAGAATGAGTTACGTTTATCCAGACATCAGTGTTCTCCTCGTAGATGATGTATGGATGCGTGCTACTGGGCACAGCCCCCACGCTGTCCTGTCTCAGGACCGGGTCTGCTGTGACAGGGACGAAGAGGGCTGAAGGCAGCAGAACCAACTGAAGTTTCCTCTGACTGCGATCCAACAGCACAGCCCATCCACTAGGAAGACACGCAGCAGTTGAAGGTGTTACCTTAAATCATGAGAACCTTCTAAACAAAAACACACACACTTACAACTTCCCGTCACTCGTCCAGCCCACTCTGGCGATGTATTCTGTTCCAGGAAATAAAGAGCTGAACGGGACCACCAGCTGATTGTCTTGTGTACTTACAATCTACACACACACACACACACACACACACACACGCACACACACGCACACACACACACGCACACACACACACACACACACACACACACACACACACACACACACACACACACACACACACACACGCACACACACACACACACACACACACACACACACACACACACACACACGCACACACACACACGCACACACACACACACACACACACACACACACACACACACACACACACGAAATCAAAGGATGAATTTGACGAGCAGCAGGCTAAAGGGTAACGCTAAAGCGAGACCTACTCTTCCTCTTCGGTCTGTCTTGATCTCCAGTAGCTTCAGGGTGGCTCGGGGGTTTTTGCTGCCTGAGAACCAGGACAAAGGAACCGGTTTAAAACAAACACCTGAGATGTGGCCCAGAACCCGGGCAGCACCAACCTGTGCGAGGATATCTGTATGCATCTGCTTTTCTTTCCTCTAGAGCAGGAGAGGGAACATGAATAATTTCTACTTCTGTCTCGTCCACCTCTTCATACAGAAGTAACAACGTCTTAATGCCATCTGCGTCTGAGAGGACAAGAGGGGACACAGGGGACACATCAGTGTGTGCAGATGAAGCACCCAACAGGTTTAATAATCGTCTATAATTTAAAAAGGGCTGACCTTCTGCTACGGAGGGATTCCACCAGTATCCAGTAAAACGGTCAAACTCCTCTTGGATTACGAATGTTGCCACGCCTGCAGACCTGGGATCATCCTTTACATTGTCTAAGCCTACAGAAAACATGTATGCTAGCACACTGGTGATGTCAGCACGCACACTAGCATGACCTAAACCCAACAACCCCATCTGAGTAAAAGGTCAGAGTGAATACAACCGTCCCACCTTTATGACAGTAGGTGAGTCTCCGCTCCTCTCCTGTCCTGATGTTAGCAATCCACAGGTCGTTGTTGTTGACGAAGGCTATGAAATCAGGGTGTCCACAACAGATCTTGGGGTCCATGCGGGTTCCTGAGCACTGGCTCTTGATCTCCACAGGCTTTACAGGAGCAGACTGCTGAAAGAGCAATCAGTCTCAGTCAGCAGCAGAAGCTCAGAAAACCTTCAGGACCGTTCAGGATTCACACGGATTCTCTAAAACACTCATTTAGTACATTTTCTGCTCTTTTCTTCCTAACCATCCTCAACAATGGAATAACCCTAAACATACTATGTGGAAAGAATAAAGAATTCTGGTTAGAAACAACATTTATGTTTAATAAAGCACTTTGTGAAGGGGACAGCTACAGGGGTCATGCTCCTCGCGCTGTTGTTACAGGACCAGAGCGTTTGCTAAAGGGGATTCGCCGCGGCTCCCTGGGAGGGTAAAGGTCGTTTATAAGATCAGACCGTGGTGGTAATGTGGTGCAATCGCGGCAATTTTATAAAAGATTAGGTGATAGTGGCATACAGGGGGTATGGGGGTGGTCTCTGCGCAGCCGCAGACTTCCGTTTATCTTGGACATAACTTGCTTTTTATTGCGATTGAAGCCGTGATGGTTACGTTTATTTTAACAAGCAGCTCCTGAAGGCGTCTGTCCCCATCGGTCCCTGTGCGGTCTCTGGTGATCTGAGCTTCAGCTCTAACAGAGAGGCTCGTGGAGCGCTGCGGCGCTCCAGTCTGCCATCTCAGATGAATTTATTCAAAAAGCAAACCTTTCTGCCCGTCTTTACTTTCATTTTCAATTAATTTACCAGCCGGAGCTCAGCAATAACTCCCCACGCCATCATGACATCTGCCTCTGTTGCTTCAGGGCGCATACGACAGACCATTACCACAATATTACTACCAAGCGAGGCAGAACGAATGCCGCAAAATCTGCGCAACGCCATGCCGGCATGGCGCGTTTATAGACAGTCCATTGCGGTAATATTACGCTAAATTGCCGGCATGGTGTGTCTTATAAAAGAGGCTTCGGTCTCCATGGAGAGGTGTAGTCCAAAGTCCTGAAGAGTTGGGTTTAGTCAAAGTTTTTGGCGCTTTCACATCTGGGCTGCTCTGTACCTGCCCAGGTACTGTCTAATGGATTCACCTCTGGGTAGCCTGTGATGTTTTCAGACCTCCTGCGGCGGTCTGCGTTGGGCTGAGGTGACACGACACACCCGCTGCCGGCTGATTGGCCAGCTCAAATTCATGCCTGACATTAGGGGGAGCCTGTGATTGGTGGATAGAATAAGCCAGTGGGGGCTTCCGGTGTGATTCATAATGATTCTGGATGCTGTGGAGGAAACATCTCCTCTGTTATGGAAATCTTATATAGCACACACACACACACACACACACACACACACACACACACACGATCAGTGCAAAGGAGGGAGGGGTGGTGCCTGAAACGTGCCTTTATCACATAAACGTGGTGAGATCTGTAAAAGACGGTGAGAGAAAAATGACCAGCGCATCAGTACGGTGAAGAGATGACAAGTGAAAGCAGGAGGGCATGCAGAGAGAGAGTGTCTATATAGGGCAAGCCGTTTTAACAGCTAATCAGCAATCAGACCTCTCAGCTTGTATAGCAAGTTGCACATTGAGCTGAACCTTTTGCACCAAGTATTCTACTAAATAAAGAGAGCAAAGCTTTTAGGTTTTTATGTTTTTTCTTTCTGCTGATCGGAAAAACGACCCGATCCATGAAGGAAAACCGTGATACGACCCAGACCGTGAGATTGTTATCAGTCGCACCACTAGAGGCTACAGCAAGCATCTTCAAGATTGTGGATGCTCCGATCAGTCTGAAGTCAACAGTGTGGCAGCACTTTAACTTCTCCATGTTGACAAATGAAAACGGTGAACAGAAGACCGACAAGACAGTAATCGTAAAAAATTGGAATGGTGAATTTAAAATTGGGAATCAAATGGAATCGTGGCTTGAGTGAATCGTCACATCCCTACAATGTTCTGTGACTCCAAAAGGGGTTTGGGAAGCACAACACGACTGTTAAAGCGTCCGGATCTGAACACATTAAGAATCTTTGGGATGTGCTGGATAAGATTACATATCCTGGTCGGACTTCCCTATCATCAAAACGAGATCCACCCATCCATTTTCACACACTTATCCGGGGTCGGGTTACGGGGGCAGCAGCCTAAGCAGGGCGGCCCAGACTTCCCTCTCCCCAGCCACTTTGGCCAGCTCCTCTGGGAGATCCTAAGGCGTTCCCTGGCCAGGTGAGAGACATTGTCCCTCTGGCGTGTCCTGGGTCTTCCTTTAGGTCTCTTCCCGGTTGGACATGCGTACCCCATGTGTTCTGTTAAATTGTAATTACATAAAATGTATTCTATGTGTTAGTTTCAGTGTTTTAAAATGGTGGGTCTGTCTCTTTAAGTTCAAGCTCCTCCCCATTCTCCACTCTCTAAAGTGGATTTTACATCCATCTTCCAACAAGCCAGGAGATTCTGCAGTGGTTGTTGACATTTCAGGAGGACCAAGATGTCAGCCTATGTTCCCAAACCAAGCCTTCTTCTGATAAGACTGCAGGATTGCTCACGCTCATGAACGATGGACTTTTACAGCTCATAAGTTAAATAATCAGTAAATAATATGGTTGAATGAACAAATGTTATTAATGTTTGAATAATCTGTGCCCAATTCAATAATGTCTGGTTAACCAAGTGAACCATTATCTACACTCAGACACAATGTTCACTAGAGATGAATTAAAGTTAACGTCACAGCACATACAGACTCTTTATCCACAGAACTAGAACATTCTTGTGTCTGGGAAAGGCGCGTGTTCTGAGGTTTCTTTGTTAACACCTCTTTTGTTCTGATTGGCCGTGTAATCATAACATGGGAATATTAAAACAGAACCACTAGCTGAGAGATCCAGTTAGTCTGAGCAGAGCTCCAGACCGGCCAGCCCGAGCAAAACTCTCTGAACCATCAAAGCTTTCTACAAGCCAAAAGCTGCCTGCAGCGGCACAGAAGCTTGCTCCTTCAGCTATTCAGAAACAGCTGTTCTAGACGCAAACGATTTCATCTAACTGTTGTGACTCGGGAGACGTCCTAGGACTGACTTGGTCGCACCGAGGTTTTCCTACGAGCCGCGTGCATTTGGGGTCACCGACTCCTAGACATCTCGGATTTAAACAGGGTCTCCAGGATCGGGTACGTAGACACAGCATGACTGCGTCTGATGCCGTTTTGATAAGAACCAACTTCGTAGTTTAATGCAGACCAAATTCTTTCCACACCCAAACTCCGTTTCTTCTAGCTACAAGGTTCTGATAAACACACACCATTCAGTCACCATCCCATCCACTTACACTCATCCATCACATTCGTCTTGTTTATAGTTGTCATGTTTTAATTTGTTTAGAAAATAAATGTCTTACTTTTTATAAACCCGACTGTCTGAACTGACACGACGTGTGTTTGATCGCTGAAAGAATCCTAAATCTTCTGATTAAACATTCAGGTTGACATCCTATATTTATACAGAATACCACATCTTATTGGTCGTAAGTAAAGGTAACATATTAAGCTTAAAAGCAACAATACTTACCCCTTCTACATCATCATTAGTACCGTATTTTCCGGACTATACGTTTTTTCATGGTCTGGCTGGTACTGCGACTTATAAACCAAATTATGTAAACCGCGCTGCTGCGGGCCGGCTCCGGTCCAGGGTTCAGCTCCTCCGCCCCGCTGGGAGGGTTTGAAACACCGCCATCACCTGCTGGAGACCGTGGCGGGGTGCTGCGCCATGTTGTTTATTCGGTTATTGTTCCCGGTACTTGTCTTGCAACGTGAAATGCTTGGTCTCAGATTTGGTAAGAAAAATAATAAAATTTCCCCCCAAAATGCAACTTATATATGTTTTTTTCCTCTTTATTATACATTTTATGGCTGGCGCAGCACTCAGCTTCAGCTCAAACTGTACGACTTCCTCGCAGGGCAGATCTCACGAGTCATGTGCTCACACTGTACGACCCAGTTCTCGCATGCGACCTGACTGCTCACACTGTACGTCTGGTAGCAACACGTCGGCCCTAAAAATATGCTAAAAATAGCAGTTTTTACACAACACGTCAGACTTTGTTGTCTTGTTTTGCCTGTTGTCCTTCGGGAGTGCTGCAGGAGGACACACAGGGATTTATGGGGGTTGGAAACGAAATAAAGAAAGTAAATCTGTGTTTTGTGATCAGTTTAATTTGACATGAACACGACAAACACGCTTTCTTGACAATCTTTGTGAGTAAAAAAACCGTGTAGAAACAAAAACGAACAGCGTGTGTTATTAGGGAAATAGCGGGCGAGCGGTGTTGATGCAGGATTGCGAATGCGCCGTGAGCGGTTCTGGTTCTTCTTGGGTCGCAGCGCCGCTTCAACAGTGCGATACCCTCACGAGGGACGAGCAAAATATTAAACACGCCAGAAGTCCGTGCGAGCTCACGACTGCTGATCAGTAGCTGGTCACGTGGTGTTAATCGCCTCTCGTAACCCCCCGTACACGACGCTCGGCGCTAAACTCGCCCCGATGTCGTGGATTCTCACACGAGTGGAAAATCGGCTCAAAAAGTGAAAAAGTCGCACAGTGTACGCCCGGCTTTACTCCGGAGCGACTTATACTCCAGAAAATACGGTAGTAGAAGTATAGTATTACATAGATGTTTATGAACTATATTTTGCCTCGGTCTCAAATGATTACAAAGGTGTAGTTTCCCTGAAATACCAAAAAGACCTGGTTTAAATTTAAATACAATTTAGAAAGATCAATAATATTGATCATTCATATTTATGTGGAATAGCACATCTTAGTGATTATTTATTATTTATTACCCATTTACATCACATTACACAGCACTGGTGAAGATGGTTAAAAGGAGGCTCCTTCCTTTCAAACCAAGCAAAGAGATTTTAAAACTTCTAATTCTTAATAAAGTGTTGATTTACCTCCTGGTTGGCTTGCCAGTTTGTAATGCTTTATAAGTGGTTACTTTTAATAAACTGTCAAAAATATAAAGGTATTCAATCAAATTTAATATTCTAAAAAAAATAGGGATAATAAATATTATTAATCCTTTAATATTCAATTGATGATTAAACTAGGTAATCTGGGTACGCCTGGGAACCAACACTTCATTCTAATTTGACACAGATGCAAAAATATAGTTTATAAAAATTTATGTATTACTATATTTCTACTACTAATGATGATGCAGGACAAAGTATTATGATTTAAGGTAAGATCATCGGAGACAATGAATAAACCATGGTGAATATGATCTGAGATGTTATTAAACCTGATTAAGTGTTGAAGAAAAATGTGATGTCTGGGTTTATTAAAGAGTCTGGCTGGTTATGAGGTTTAACAAGTTATAAAATGAATAATAAACCACCCAACGCCAGGTGAGAGACTACAATACGTATGGATGTTGATTCATACATTAATGTAAAGCAGTCAAGACATTATTAAATCACTTTAGATAAAACATTCATTGTAGATTTTGTAATTATAATCAATCTGTAAAGAGAAGAAAACATTTTATAAGACAAACATGAGAATTATTTTGTTAAAATACAAAGGTCTCTCTCCTGAAGAGACTTGTGAGTTGCAGGCCAGATGAGGGAGTCAGGACGAGGACATTTAGCATGGCTGCCTCCTGGTTCAAGGTTATAGACCTGTGTATAGTCTGTGTCTTGGGGTGGAAAGCACACAGTTAACGCTTGGCACGCTGATGAAGCAGGCTGTGGACAAATCAATGTCTAGTGACCTCTGATATTAAGGCCTCTCCTATGCTACACAGTGTGTCTCTAGGCATTTAAACACCTCAGGGTCTGGCCAGGCGGGGGCGGGGGCCAGCCTGCTGCCCACGGACAAGAGAAGCCTTGTAATCAAAACAAAAACCTGCGACAACTGACAGCATCTTTTCTATGTCTTGTAAAACGACACCACACTGTTAGCTGCAAAGCATTAGTATTGTACTCACGATGAAGCCATTGCTGCCTCCATCCTGACAGTAGAAGAGGCTATTACTAGCTTGGAACAGGAACAGACCAGTCTTAGCATGGTAGTCATAGGAGGTGATTCCAAATGCACCCAAACGTTTCCGCTCCCTGAGTAGCTCCTCTTCTCGTGAGTAGGCCCCTTGGTGAGGCGTGGCCTGTGAAGAACAAGAGGATGGTTAACGCAGCCCTACTTCTACTTGCAGTAATAACGTTATTAGTCAGTTTACATTTTGTTTTGTTTATGGTTTGGAACCAATATTCTCCTGGACCGTTACCACATTCTGGGATTTTGCTGGCTTAGTTCAATGGTTCCCAAACTTTTTCCTTGAGGACCTCCTTTCAAGACAAGCCATGAACACTCCCATCCCCCAACCGCAAACTTGTACACACATGTATACATGGCTGAAAATGGATGGTTGGATTGAAATTTCCATCTGCAGCTGTTTCTCTTATTAGTAACGCTCAAGTGTGTTGCATATTCTCTTCCGGTCTGTCTTCCTGTGGGTACGGTGGGGTAGGTGCACACCGCTGACCTCTAATAACCCCAGAACCGCTATGAGAAAATGAAAAACATAAAAAGTTATTAAATGATTTAGGAAAGTAGGATATAACGTTATTTCTGTTTTTACATTTTTCACTACTAATTATAATTTTGTGTTGTCATCACATTTATCTTGTATTTTATTTAAAAATCTTCATCTTTAATCATTTTTAGAGGATTTTGTGTTGCACAAAATATACTTTAGAAGTACTTGTTCTGCTGATATCCATATGTGAGAATATTCCCAAAAAGTCATTTTGACAAAAATAAATAAAAGAAAATAATAATTTGTGATATAGATATTTTATCAGACACTCAAAAGGGTCATAAGCACCACATACTAGCTGTTTACAGAGGAACGAGTCTCTGAAAATAGCAGCTGCACCACCACGCCTGTCAGAGCGAAGCACGTTTAGAGAAGGGAAATTTAGGGGTGTTGATTCTATGAGAACTAGAGCACAGCTAGCCAAATTTCAGATAAAAACATGAAATCGAGATTGTGAGAAAAGATAAGATCATTTACTAAAAATGACGTATTGCAAAGAGATCTAACATTTAATAAAGCAGCCTTCATGGAGCTGATGGGAGGAACCTTCGTGGAACGAGCCTGATAAGGAAGTGTTTGCAGGTTTCTGGGATTATGTGAGCAAACAGGCACTTCCTGTACTTTCTTATAACAGAGATGGGGAATACTAACATTTCATCAGGTCCACATTTTCCCTGGAAATAGTCATGAGTGACATCTTTACTGAAATTTTGACCCACTAAATCTCAAACAGTGATCAAAAGCTCTTCAGAGAAACTGGAGTGGGTGGGTGGGGTGGGGGGGTGGGGGGGAAGTGGGCTGGGGGGGGGGGAATTGTGGGGGGTATGGAGGAGGGTGTCTACTAGAGCCCCAATTCCACCAGTACCTGCTTTGACCGACACCACTCTAATCTGTGCGATAAGATTGTGTCTCCATTAGTACCCAGTATCAGCTCTAGCTCAAATTTCAGAACCGTTCACCGAGGAGTTCTTCTCGCTCAGTGTAGGTACCATGATGCACATTCAAAAGGCTGTCGATCACTGATTGGCTAGGGGGTGGAGTCACTGGCCGTCTCACTCAGGTCCAGCAGCTACCGGCGAACACGCAGACAATGTGGTAACAAATAAAAATAAAAATAAAGCCCTATTGCTGATAAAGGACCACGACGGAAGGAGCAGGTCAGAATGACTGAAACGGAGTAGTTTGAGCAACTGGAGGTGATTTGGGACACGGAGCAGCAGCAGCAGCATTCTGAGCACATCCTCTGCTGCTTCAGACTCCACAATAGATGATGGTGAGTGTACTAATCCCATCAGTGGTGACCATATTTTTGACCAAACAAAAGGCTGACCCCACTGTGTTCCCCACGAAGCCTAAAGCTAACTAGCATCAATGCTAACAAAGCTATGTTCGCATTTTTTGCTCTTTGCTCTGTGTGTGAGCGTCAGTTGTGGGTTTTTTTGTTCCAGAATATCTTGCGACATGCGAGAAGTATTAAAATACTCAGTATTTATAACAACCAAGCTCCCTGGATTCGCCCCGCTGTCCAAGGCCTGCACCGGCCTGACCTGTAGCAGCGCCGGGAGAACCTCCAGGCTGCGGACCAGAGGTCTCATTCATAAAGCTAGCTTACGCACAAAACGGGGTGGGAAAACTGCGTAAGCAACTTTCCACGCAAACTTTGGGATTTCTAAAAGAAAACGTCGTAGAAAAATAAGCGCAACTTTAAGTTGACTAAGGACCTGGCTTACTCGCATGCTGGACATGGAGAGCACCTGCAGTGCTGCTGCTGAGAAGGATAACATGATGAATTCCTGCAGCATTATCACTTGTACCGCTTCGTTTTCACACAGAACAAGACCCCCCCCCCCAACACACACACACACACACACACACACGTTTACACATGATCTTTCTCTATAATATAATATAATATATTACCTTTTCATATTGATTATAGTTGTGTAGAGGTGTGATAGACTTGATCTCCCTTTATAGTAAACACCTAAATAACAGTGTTTATGTTTTACACACACCTGAGGTTCCTCAGGGTTAGATTCTGCCTAGAGCCGACGTCAAAGCTGTTGGGCTGAGTTAGATCATTTTAGTCCTGTTGTTTCATCTGTTTACTTCGCTTTCCCTCCTAGTTTATGCGGCAGACCAATCAGTGCAGGCTTTTATAACATCCCCATATGCGTACGGCGATAATTACACCTGGAGGACATGCTACAGCTGTGACCAGAGGCATGATTGGTGAGTATTCTGCTGCAGAAAAGTCCATCTTTGTGAGGAGAACCTTCATGATGCTGACAGCTGTAAGTTTTCTCTCCAAGGTTGGAAAGTCAGAAAGTTGGTAAACCATAAGAAAATATTAGTAATTAATAATAGGAAAGAGTGAGTTCTACATCATAAGAAATAACCAAAACAACAAGAATAAAATGTTAATGTTTTTATGTACTCATATAGTCCCGGGTGTCACACACGTTTAAGATCAGCCACACGTGTTCCTGCAAACATTGGGAAAGTGAAAAGAAGTTTTGTGTTCATTTTAAACCGTCGTCAAGAAAAAATGAAAGTTTGCTGGTTTACAAACCATGAAAGGTCTTCTCTTTGTTCTTAAAATTTTATCACAGTACATGATGAGATAATCACTTTTACGGATTTCTGAAAAACCATACATAATTTCTAAAAGGGGAAAACTCTGAAAAGCAGCTTAAAGGTGCATTATGGAAGTGTGACAGCCAAAACATGTATAGAAATAATAAATGTCTTCTTCATACATTCTCCTGCAATGCCCTGGTCCTGTAGGATGAGCCCTGGCATTTTTACTGTGATTGCCTGTTTTTCTGTAAAATCACAGAAAAAGAGAGATGCTCGGGTCGAGCAGGCTGCTTCATGCGCGTTCACGCTCAGGCATCGCCCGTAGCATTTGCTATCCGTAGCTTTAGCAGCAGAGAGAGAGGCAGTGCCACTTTGTCGCTGTTCCTAACGCCTAGTGACAAAGCTAGCTACATTTCTGAGGACCCTTAGCTACTTTCTGTAGAACTTTCTTCTAGATATTTCCTGCTAATTAGCAACAAAACAGCCATTTTCACTCCGAACCGTTCTTTGAACGTTGTTTCAGCCGTCATCAAGGATATAAAAGTTACAGATGCTAAGGACGTTACTGGTGCTTTAGCTCATCAAGAAAGATGACGGACTCCCGTGCGGAAGATCTAGATTCGATTCTGGATGTGAACATAGTTTATTTAGAGTTTATTTTTTACATTAATGGTATATTTTTTACAGTAAGATGCCCAAATTTTTATTTGAGACTCGCCGAACGGCATTGAATTCACAGATACAAGAGATGTGGGTTCAACTTTCATTTTGGAACAATTTTTCAAGCAAGGGAAGGGAATGATCTGAGCATGCAGGAGGACTGACCCATCATAAACCTTTGTCGGCTGTGCTGAAGAGAAAGCTACAGAACCACATTATTTAATTAATTAGCTGCACGTTCTCCTGTCCTCTGGGCCACACACACACACACACACACACACACACACACACACACACACACACACACACACACACACACACACACACACACACGGGACTGTCTCAGCTGTTATTTTCGCTGAGGAGTGTGCACGTACAGCATGCGCACCTCGTGCACGAGCCTACTATTGAAGCTGCCGTTACTCTTTTGGCCTGAGGGGGCAATCACGAGCATAAAAATTCAAAACTCCGTAAAGTCCCTTTAAAGACTATAACTAGATCAGCGTTTTATCATCTGCATCAAATAGCACGAGTCAGGGTCTCATGTCCAGACAAGACCTAGAGAAACTCATTCATGTGTTCATCTACAGCATGCTGGACTACTGCAATGGTCTCCTAACTGGTCTTCTGACAAAAACTGTGAAGCCACTGCAGCTTGTTCAGAACGCTGCTGCTAGAGTCTTAACAAGAACTAAGAGAACGGAGCACATCACTCCTGTTCTTAGATCCCTACACTGGTTACCAGTAAACTACAGAATAGCTTTCAAAGTGCTTCTACTAGTTTATAAATCACTCAATGGCATGGGACCAAAATACATGTCTGATCTTCTTCAGGTTCTAGCAGGGCTCTGAGATCCTTAGGAAGCAGTCAGCTGGTAGAACCGGGTCAGAACCAAACAGGGTGGAGCTGCTTTTAGCTACTATGCTGCTCACAGATGGAATTAGCTTCCTCATGACCTCAGATGTGTCCCAACTCTAGAAACGTTTAAATCAAAATAGAAAACCTTCATGTTTTCATCAGCATTTGAATAAATGTTCTAATGTTGCACGTTCTGCACTGTAACTGCTCACCCTTTAACTTTCTTTTTCATTTATAAATTGTATTTTCAGTCACGTTGATTTTAATGTCCTTGCTAATGGAAAGCACACTGAATTGCCTCTGTGTATGACGTGTTGTAGAAATAAAGCTGCCTTGCCTTGCTACTGATTGGATTCAAGTTGTGTGATGCATAAGAATGGTAACTTGGCGACTCCTAGTGGTGATATGTGGTTAGCACATCTGAAAAAGCTCAGTCGCCAGAAACGCAAGTTGCAGACATAAATGATTA